GTATGTATGTATGTGTGCATGTATGCATATATGTATGTATGTATGTATGTATGTATGTATGTATGTATGTATGTATGTATGTATGTGTATGTATTTGTATTTGTATTTGTATTTGTATTTGTATTTGTATCTGTATTTGTATATTTTGGCATGTATTTATTTAGGGACCGCCAGGACCCCCCAAGTACCCTTCAAAGGGCTCTGCTCTTCCCATTAAGATGTAACTAGGGACTGCAATAAACGGTAATTGGAGGTTTTAGGGACTAAACTTCCAAATCCGCGTCCTTCGGAACCCGAGACCCTGGTCAGCAGAAGCCTTCCCAAGAGCTCCCTGGCATAAGTACAGCGGTTTAGGGTTTAGGGTTTAGGCGAAGTCACCCGAAACTTTAGTCTAAAACAAGCTTCCCAACACAAAAAAGGAGAACAACAACAAGGGATTCTGATCCATACCCCTGAGCCCTAAATAAAGCCTCGACCTGCAGCCCTGAAGTCTGGATCCTACTTGCAGCTTTGAGTCATGACCCATTTTTCTTTCAGCATTTCTGTAGGGGTTTAGGGTTTAGGGCTTATAGGGCTTATAGGGTTTGTAGGGGTTTAGGGTTTAGGGTTTAGGATATCTTGCCCCCGTACCGGTAAAGCCCTACACTTTCAACATCCTACTGTGAAGCCTTGAAAGGAACCCTGGAGTAGATAAGCCAACCCTGATCCCCAAGGGTCCAAGTACCCGACAATCAAAGAGTCATATACTCTCCCAAAAAGTAGCCTACATAAACCACAATCCTAAACCCAAGGACCTTATTATTGGGTCCTTTGGACCCTTGGGGGAAAAAGTACGCCCTAAACCCTAAACTCTAATCCCTAAACCCCCAAACCCCTAAACCCTAAACCCCTAAACCTCTAAACCCTAAACCCAAACCCGAAATCCTCAACCCGGCCCTAAACCCTAAACCCTAAACCCGGACCTGGGAGGTGGGAGCTCACGCCGGGCTGGCGGTGGCCTTCCGCGCCCGCGCTGCGCGCCAAGCCGAGACCAAGCCGGCAGAGAAGACGCTGTCACTGCGTTTGAAGGGGTATAGGGATTTGCGGCTTGAGGGGTTAAGGGTATGGGGTTTAGGGTTTAGGGATTAGAGTTTACCGGTTTGAGGGCTAAAGGGTTTGGGGCTTATAGAGCTTATAGGGTCTAAGGCTGCGTTTTAAGGGGTTTAGGGTTTACCGGTTGAGGGGTTAAGGGTTTGATTAATGTTTGGGGTTTAGATCTTCACGGTCTAAGGGTTGAGGGTTTAGGGTTTACGGGCTTCGGGTTCGAGTGTTTAGTGTTCAAAGGTTGGGGGTTTCGGGCTTCAGGGCTTAAGGGCTGCATGGTTTAGGACGTCTCACAGGGTTTTCAAATTGTATCTAAGATGCATGTATGCGTTTGTGTATGTATGTATGTGTGCATGTATGTAGGTATGTATGTATGTAGGTAGGTAGGTAGGTAGGTATGTATGTATGTAGGTAGGTAGGTAGGTAGGCATGTATGTATGTATGTATGTATGTATGTATGTATGTATGTATGTGTGTATGTGTGAAAATAACACGTCCCTACTTTCTCCCAGAGTGAGTGACTGCCACTTTGGTGGCTCAAGACTACTTTGCCCTGAGTG